TGCCATATTCTTTCCATTTCTTAATAATGGATTTAAACTTTTGACTGGTACTGTCACCCATCCTTCCAGAAAGAACAGTAATCCTTCCAGAAAGAAACATTAGATGATGCCATGTCTTTTAATACAGCTTTTTAAACTTCGGTTTTGGAGAAGCCACACCCTAAGTGTCCCCATTACTGAGACTGGGTTTTAAAATACAAAAAGGTACCCAGATATCAAACTATCTACCCAATTAAGAGACAGGGGCAGCAGGACGGTTACATCTCTGTGATCCTGGCAGCCAGAGAGCAGTACAAGGTAAAGAAGCGTGTGAAGAGGAGAGGGGGTCTGTCTATTGGTGCTCAGTGGACCCCCTCTCTGGGCACCACTGGGTCAGGGTGGTCCTAATGAACAAGCAGAGAAGCTGTCTTATTAGTCTGGCTAATCTCTGACACCTGGGATGTTCCGGGAGCATGATGTGTGCGTGTGCGTGTGCGTGTGTGTGTGTGTGTGTGTGTGAGAGAGAGAGAGAGAGTGTGTTTGTGTTAGAGTGTGTGTATGTGTGAGTGTGTGAGTGTGACAGAGAAAGCTAGGCAGAGTGTGTGTGTGAGTGTGTGAGGCTCTGTCATAGCCGGCCGCGACCGGGAGACCCATGGGGCGGCGCACAATTGGCCCAGCGTTGTCCAGGGTAAGGGAGGGAATGGCCGGCAGGGATGTAGCTCAGTTGGTAGAGCATGGCGTTTGCAACGCCAGGGTTGTGGGTTCGATTCCCACGGGGGGGTATGAAAAAAAATAAAAAAATAATGTATGCACTAACTGTAAGTCGCTCTGGATAATCTGCTAAATGACTAAAATGTAAATGTGTGAGAGAGAGAGTGTGTTTGTGTGAGAGTGTGTGAGGGAGTTATGTGAGGGAGAGTATGTGTGTGTGTGTGTGAGAGAGAGTGCTAGAGTGATTGTCTGTGTGTATTAGTGCATACGTGAGTGTGTGCGCAAGTGTGTTTGTGTGTGTGTTTGCGCGTGATAATATGTGGGGAACCCACAAGCCAGCATGACGTCTCACAGCGCAGATTGAAGCGGCCGCCGCAGTCAGCAACATAAATACTATCTGAGACGGAGACAGAGCCGTGTGAAAATAATAAAATCAATAATACTTCCACCTTTGCTGAAAGTGCATTATTTAAACTTGTGGGTGGAGTGGTGGCTATGCTATGCTGAAAGCATTAATAAATTAATGTACCCTCATGGATTCTTTTAAAACAAAGGGGGACTTATAATTTGTGTGCGCATGGATGGAGGACATCAATTATTAGAATTAATCTCCGGACTCATTCATTCCATTCATTATTCCACCCCTCCTTCCTTTCTCTCTTTCTCTCCATTCCCCTCCACAACAGTGGTGTCAGAGTGCTGCGGAAGACAATTACTCAGAAAGCCGCTCTCTTTAAAACATCAAGATGCCTTTGACTGGATCTATGGGGATACTTGAAGAACTTGCATTGCCTGGTGCACAGTTCACAGGGAAAGATTCAAAGTTAAATAGATGACTGTGAATGTGACATCCCTATTGGTCAATTAATGTTTAATGAAAGGGAGGGGGGGGGGGGTGTAGAGTAGGGATGGAGGAAACCAGACGGAGAGAAAGTAGAGGGAGGTGAAGAGGTGAAATACAGGTCTCTCTCAGAGCAGAGCAACCAGAAGTTAAAGTTCTCTTTGACCAAGAGTGGGAAAGGCAATCGCTATGGTAACCACCGAAAGGATGCATCCAATTAAGAAGAAACAGTTTGGAGAAGAGGTTGGAGAGCATTGGGGAACGTGGAACTGCAAAAACAAAGTTGTTTTGTTCGACAATTGTATAATTACTAAAACACTTTTTTATAAATAACAAAATAGGAATATTTTCACCATACCAGAGTTTTCTGCCAAAACAGGTCTTAATAATAATTCCACTAATTTAGCATCCTGCTGAGCGTGAAGACCCCAGCAGCGTTACTAACAAACCACGTTCAAAGGCACTGACATTTGTTGTCTTGCCCATTCACCCTCTGAATGGCACACATACACAATCCATATATCAATTATTTCAAGGCTTAAAAATCCTTCTTTAACCTTTTACTGCAGCAGGCTAAATCAAGTGTGGTGTGTCTTGGTAGTCTTAAACAAATCTACTTTGAAACAAAAGTATACACCTCACACACATGGTTATGGGCTTAAAAAAGAAGACACCTGTACCATATCAGATATAGTTTGCATCCCAATATTACACTTTAAATACATCACAGAATAATTATTTTTAGATGTAAAAAAAATATATTCTGAAATTATGAAAAATATTAATAACGTTCCACCCATGAGGCCACTAGAGGGCGATTTGGTCATTTGACTGCAGGAACCGTGTCTCACCCCCTTCATCTACACTGACTGAAGTGGATTTAACAAGTGACATCAATAAGGGATCATAGCTTTCACCTGGATTCAGCTGGTCAGTCTATGTCATGGAAAGAGCAGGTGTTCAGAATACACTAAGTGAATGTGATTACACTGGCAAAATTGGGAAGAATAATACAGTACGTTTGGGGAATAACAGCAGTGTTCTTGCTGACAAGCACACTAATTACCTTATATTTTAGCCCATTGTTAAAAATGAGAATTGTTCCACTGATCAGACTAAATAAAGTAAATAGATAATAAAATCTCCTGAAGACTACATAAATCTGCCCCTACAACATAACCAAATTCTTCTTCTATTTTTTCTCACTCTAGAATAAAACGTACACTTTTGGGATCACAATCTAATTGACAAAATGATTTTCATAGTTACAAATCAGGTCACCCTACCAAACTTCTCAGCTAAAACATACTGTAGGTCTGTCTGCTGCCTTTTCGTTGTCACAGTCTAAATGCCAATCACGAAACGAGGGGACTAATGCAAGTGTGGATTAAATCGACTTTAGTACATGCTGTTAAAAGGCTGCATTCTGCAATAGGGACGGGAGTAACAGCAAACTCATTTTGTTGACAACATCGTACATAAAACAACGCTATCGTGCTGCTCTTTTTACAGTTTTATAAAATCAGCGGAGAACGTTCTGTCTCTCCATTCAGCTCCACTCTAATCTTGAGGGGCGTTTCTTTAAAACGTGCATCCAATCCCCTTGATCCCTTACATAACTAGACCAATCATATGCTTCAATGTGCCACGGTTCACAATGCTGTGGCAAGACAGGACAATGATAGAGGTTCCACTCGTGATGTTAAATTGCAGGCGCAGATGCTCCGATTTCAAAATGATTTGCAGCACAGTTGAAAAGTTAATGCACTGACTAATTACAAAAATAAAAGCAGTACTTTTCAATGCGTGAGATATAAAAGGCGTGGTGTGTGAGTGTGAGAAGAGGGTGAAATGCGTGTCTCACGGCCAATGTGTGCGAGTTGGCAGCATTGCAATGTAAAATAAAACACTACTTGGTTGCTTAGTGAGAGGTGAGTGGAAAGGAAAAAGAACAGCTGTCTTTGCGAACTTCCTTTCCAGCCTTTTCCCAAACAAGGTGCATGAACAGTTAACTACAGAGAGGAAGTGACGTGAGTGGGTTATCTTACCACACAGTGAGGCCAGTAGTTAAGGCTTTACCAAGTACATGTATTATAATGTAACATTAAAACACTACTTAGTTACGGAGATAGAGGTGAGTGGAAATCTCTTCTCTCCACACAGTGATGCAGTGATCTATTAATTCAAATAAAAGACTACTTAGTTGCTGAGTGAGTGAGAGATGAGTGGGAATCTCTTCTTTCCACAAGGTGCTGTAGTCATAGATGGGTTCTGTACTGAGCACAGTGAAGTGGATGTATGTATAGTGTACTATAACACTTTAGTTGCTGAGAGAGAGATGAGTGTAGGTTCTTACCACACAGTGATGTAGTCATATATGGGTTCAGTGCTGAGCACAGTAAAGTTGATGTAGATTCCGTTCCCAGGAGGAACCCTTACGCTCCACACACAGTCCTGGAAGTTGGGGTACTCCTCGGGGTGGCCGGGGGAGTAGATGGTCCCATTCATGGAGGTGATGTTACCCCCACACAGAGCTACAGAGGAGAGGAGATTCACAGCCAGGTCAGGTGATGTTACCCCAACACAACGCCCACAGACGCTCTCTAGGTGCAGTATCAATCTGTTACCATAGAGATCCTATCTATTAGATTTATATGCTAGTAGTCACCATAGATATCCTATTTCTATAGTTACCTTCACAGCGTGGTACCGGGTGGTTCCAGTTGCGGCTGATTCCGTGCAGACAGGTGAGAGAAGCCTCCCCGATGAGGGAGTAGCCAGGCAGACACTCAAAGGACACAGTGAGGCCTACACTGAAGTCACTGCCAATCACGATGCCGTTACGAAAAGGACGAGGGTCGGGACAGCTCTGCAGCTGATAGGCTGGAAATCAGGAAGTGGTCGATAATTCAGATAAATATTGGCAGAAAATACATATAAAAAAATTACACAATCATGAAAACTGATATATAAATAATAAAACTGTATATCATGTAAAAATCGAGGATACTAAGAGAGACTGCCCAGACCGAGAGTATGAAAAATACAACTACATTGAATTGAGTTGAGTGAAATCACAAGCCCTTTTGGAGTTCTCTCCTCTTCCACACATTCTACTGGTCTACCTCTGTAGTCTACGGTGTCGCCGTTGGTTCGAATCCGGCCTACTGCCCTTTGACACAACCTCTCTCCATATTTCCCCACTGTCATCCTCTCTCTATCTATCTGTTCAATAAAATCAGAAAATATCTTAATAATATATTTTGTTAAACAACTAACTCTATCCTCACCCTGGTAAGTGATCTGGAAACCCGGCTTGTTCTGGGAGTAGTCGCTGTGGAAGAAAAAACTGGTCTGGTGGGTGGTGCTGAACAGGGACTTGGGGACCTGTGGTCCACTGAACCTGTCAATCACCGTGCCCGTCTCCAGAGTTCCACTCCGAATCTCCAGGTAGTCATGGATGGCCTCCGTCGAGAAGTTGAGGAACTGCAGGTGGATTCCTAAAATAAACAGGTAGATTAAAAACATACTGGTCAGACCGTGAGTTTATGATATAAAGACCATGATTTTACTAAAGCATGTGGGTCTGGATTATTGAATCACACATTTTATATTCCACCATGCGTTTGAATCCATTCAACCAGGCTAAAATTACTTGCTGTCGAGATATATACTGTATATACTGATGCATGTAACTCAAACATATGCATACAGCAGTGGACACACTTCATAGGAGGTCGGGGAGGACCATCCTCCTCAGTGAATTTCATAAAAATAAAAATAGTGAAACAAAAAAGTATTCATTTTTAGATGAAACTACACTAAATATATTCACGTCACCAAATAATTGATTAAAACACACTGTTTTCCAATGAAGGTCTACAGTAGCCTCAACAGCACCATGGTGTAGCCAGAGGACAGCTAGCTTCTGTCCTCCTCTGGGTACATTGACTTCAATACAAAACCTAGGAGGCTCTTGGTTCTCACCCCCTTCCATAGACTTACACTGTAATTATGACAACTTTCAGAGCTCTTGCAGCATCAACTGACATGTTGTCCACCCAAACAAAAGATCAGAGAATGAATCTAGTGCTGAAAGCATAAGCTACAGCTAGCTAGCACTGCAGTGCATAAAAGGTGGTGAGTAGTTGACTCAAAGAGAGAGAAAGACAATAGTTGAACAGTTTTGAACAAATTAATTTCTTAATGAGAAGCAAGAGAGAGAGAGAGAGAGAGAGAGAGAGAGAGAGCTAGCTATATTTGTTTGTATATTTTTTTACATTCACTTTCAGCTACTCAAACACCTGGCTCAAACAGAGAGGGATGCTATGATATCTAGCTGGCTATGGCTTTCCAACACTGCACCTCTTCCAAGTCAAGGTAAGCTTTTGGTTTAATTAATGTATTGCCACCGGGGCCCACTGGTGTAACTGCTAAACTGCATTCTGACTGTACATTGTACTGCATGATCGTAGCAACTTTACTAACGCATTAGTTCTAGTAGCTACAGTATGTTGACTATGAGGTGAAAATGATGTAGGCTGTGTGTAGCGGTTAGCGGTCATGATATGTTTTTTTCGCCTGGTCACAGACAGCTGATGTGTTGTGCACTGAAGTCCACAAGTGAAGGGAAAAGGTGAGAGGAAGAGAGTGCATATATAGTTGCGAGAAGGAATTATATATACAAGGAGCAAAGTAATCATGCTGTTTTTATATGGCTGCTATGAAAGTGAACTGTGTTTGCGTGTGATCAGTGGTGTATTCATTCCACTGATTCTGATGAAAAATGTTTCTTAAACGGAAGCAAACGAAATGATACGGGGATAAACATACCTGAATTTGTCCAATAGAAACTCTCATTTGCAACTGTTGGACTAATGATTACACCCTAGATCAGCTAGATGCAGGCAAGAGTGTGCAAGGCGGTATTGAATGTGTCACTGTCTGTCACCTTGATTCCTCAAAATTCTCTCGACCTGTGCACCTACGTTGTAAACTTGAATATGAATGACAGTCATCCAACATGCTGTAATAGAAATAATGCCATGCTCATTAAAAAAAAAGCATCTTCCCTCATCTTAAACGGCACCGACCGCCACTACCATACATTGGAAATCTGTGGAGAGATACGCTGTGCGACGGCTTGAGTTAACACATGTATATTGCATTAGCATCGCCTATACTATTTATGTAGCCTACTATAGGTAAACAATGATGCTGCTCTCTGGTTGACTGGTGGATTGCCTTTACATCACGGTTGGTGTTACACTTTCCATGTCTCTGCACATTAGGCCTATAAATCAAGCATAGTTATCTCTACAGCTGACAAACATGGGTCTGACACTTCCCTGCACTGCTGCTACATCTAGGACCACTTCCCCACAAGCTGGGTTTTCACTGAAATAATAACAAGAGATCCACTTCTTTGTATGACAGTGTGTGACTGTGGCTTGGCCACGATGGCAGTGAGTTGAGCGATAGGTAGTTTAACAGTGTGTGCGTGTGTGTGCTTTGCCACAATGACTGTCAGTGGGTTCCCGTACCAAAGCCGGTGGGTAGTTTGACAGTCCAGGTGCAGTCTAATCCACTGGGGTAGTTTCCAGGGAATCCAGGGCTCAGGATGACACCGCTGACATCAGTCATGGAGCCACCACACTGGGCTGTGGAGACAATCCCAGGATAAAGGAAAGAAGAGTAAAATAGAGCAGAGCAGAGTACAGTATAGAAACGTTGAGTAGAGTACAGTACAGTACAGTAAAGTACAGTATATTAGAGTATAGTAGAGTAGAATAACTACTTTATTAGTCAATCATAGACAGAAATCTTAAACTTCACCATGCCATGTTCTTATCTGTATTTATAGCTACAGCGTCCTAAAAGCAGAACGGTTAATCTCGGGTTAAACATCTCTAGACTGTATGAATGGGTATCGGTGCCACCGCTAGATTACTAAATTATTGACAGGTCTTGAAATGGGCCTGTGATTCGAACAGTCTGGAGTCTATTTTAGCATCAGCGCTACAGATCAACTCCCTCTGTAGTGCTATTAGCATAGCCTCTTTCCCTCTCAGTGGCTCAGCCAGTGTGAGGTAAATCTTATTCTGTGAAAAGAACAGCCTTTTGTGTGCTAAAAGGCACAAAGGAGCTGCATACCTTTCGTTATGGTGTGAGAGCTTTTATAAAGCAACATACAAAAGCACAACACTTCATTGGGGTCTTTCAGAAAATGTGTCTCCACAGAGGCATACATTTTTTTGTTCACCACTTAGGAGAGTCAAAGCTATTATCACTTACTTCTTTACAAGTATTGTGTGTCAGAAAAAGGTAATTATGTTAGATAAAAATACAAAAAAAAGAACGGTTGAAACCTATCCGACCTGAAAGTTATGGATGAGCTGAGTCGACTGTGAATAAAGAGGCGTTCGGACTTGAGGCCGGAACTCCTTAGTGAGAGTTGCACCTTCAAAGCTGCCGGAACGTGGGGAGGGGATGGGGAGTCCAATGGGACAAACAGAACACATGAAAGCAAGCAAAGCACCAGGGATTCCGAAAGATAAACAGCGTGGCCTTGATCAGTCGACGGTTGAACTTTAGAGGTCCTAACACTGAGGCCCAGGGTCCCAAGGGAAACCCTCAGGTACCGCATCACCTTCCAACATCTGTGGCAGCAGGGAGGCTCAGTGGGAGGTTAGGGATGTAAACTTCTGGCAAATCAAAAACACCAGTCACAGAACATATCCATCACACCCCTCACTGTGGAGCAGCTCAGAGGAAGAGACTGTATCGAGCGTGAGGAGAGAGATCCGAGATCCCACTCCCCAAAAAAACACAAACAGAAAATGTTAGTTTTTTCTGTTTCTTGGCTGTCCAATTGCTGTGGTGAAATAGGCTCACTCAGAGGGCAATGACTGGCAAGAGACTAAAGGGAAATGTGTCCGTTTCAAAGCTCAAGGCACCACCCTGGCGTGATCAGGCTTATTATTTTTGTTTACAATGCAGTGTTCACATTTATGAACAAATCTATTCAATCCATCATGTCTCAGTGAGTTACTGTACGTGGATAGATTTTTTTTCTTTCTTGTTTTCTAAAATACTTTTTTGCAATATGCTTAAAAAAGGTCATGAAAAAGGTCTGTAAGCAGGTGAACTGTGAATAATTGACTTAGTTTTGTCAGGATATACAGCTGGCCTTAGATGACAGTTGTCTCCGAGACTACAGCCAACTCTGGAAACATCAAAGTTGTACTTTCTCTACTGTGTAACAAGCCTCTAGACTAGGGGTTCCCAAACCTTTTGGCCCGAGACCCCATTTTGATGTTCAAATTTTTCAGAGACCTCACCATAAAAAAAAGGGATGTAATCAATGGCCAATGTTTACATTTTTAACTGGGGCCATGACAGTCTATTACAAATCAGTCTGACAGTACTTTTGACAGTATCTCAATCTCAACAGTATCTCAATCTGAAGGAAGTATGGTTTGAAGTGACTGAAATGCATCAAAAAAGTATTGGTAAGTTCAGAAGATCATCCGAAGCTAGGTTTCCATCCAATTGGCGACAGATTTTCATGCGAATATTCTAAAATACGCATAAAGAAAATACGCAAATATGTTTCCACCAAACAGACTTGTTGCGGATAAAAGTCAGTGCGTGATGACGTAGTGCACATAAAATGTCTTTTTGTACTTACATTTTCATGTACCGAATGAAAATCTAAAGTTCAATGTGTTTCCATCATATTTTCAATTCTACCGATAGTTTTGTCACAAAAACTGTAAATGTGCCAACTCCGGTCTTGGCGCGTGCGATCTAGCCAACAGATCGCAGATACAGTGTGGGTAGGCTGTGCGGGTTGGCTAGTCTACATGATGAGATTAGTTTTTCCCCCTCATCAATCTACACAAAATACCCCGTAATGACAAAGCAAAAACAGGTTTTTAGAAACGTACATATCACATTTACATAAGTATTCAGACCCTTTACTCAGTACTTTGTTGAAGCACCTTTGGCAGCGATTACAGCCTCAAGTCTTCCTGGGTATGACACTACAAGCTTGGCACACCTTTATTTCAAGAGTTTCTCCCATTCTTCTCTGCAGATCCTCTCAAGCTCTGTCAGGTTGGATGGGGAGAGTCCCTGCACAGCTATTTTCAGGTCTCTCCAGAGATGTTCGATCGGGTTCAAGTCCGGTCTCTGGCTGGGCCACTCAAGGACATTCAGAAACTTGTCCCGAAGCCACTCCTGCGTTGTCTTGGCTGTGTGCTTAGGGTCTTGTCCTGTTAGAAGGTGAACCTTCGCCCCAATCTGAGGTCCTGAGCGCTCTGGAGCAGGTTTTCATCAAGGATCTCTCTGTACTTTGCTCCGTTCATCTTTCCCTCGATCCTGACTAGTCTCCCAGTCCCTGCCGCTGAAAAACATCCCCACAGCATGATGCTGCCACCACCATGCTTCACCGTAGGGATGGTACCAGGTTTCGTCCAGACATGACGCTTGGTATTCAGGCCAAATAGTTAAATCTTGGTTTCATCAAATCAGAGAATCTGTTTTTTCATGGTCTGAGAGTCCTTTAGGTGCCTTTTGGCAAACTCCAAGCGGGCTGTCATGTGCCTTTTACTGAGGAGTGGCTTCCGGCTGGCCACTCTACCATAAAGGCCTGATTGGTGGAGTGCTGCAGAGATGGTTGTCCTTCTGGAAGGTTCTCCCATCTCGACAGAGGAACTCTGGAGCTCTGCCAGAGTGACCATCGGGTTCTTGGTCACCTTCCTGACCAAGGCCCTTCTCCCCCGATTGCTCAGTTTGGCCGGGCGGCCAGCTCTATGAAGAGTCTTGGTGGTTCCAAACTTCTTCCATTTAAGAATGATGGAGTCCACTGTGTTCTTGGGGACCTTCAATGCTGCAGACATTTTTTGGTACCCTTCCTCAGATCTGTGCCTCGACACAATCCTGTCTCGGGGGTCTATGGACAATTCCTTCGACCTCATGGTTTGGTTTATTCTCTGACATGCACTGTCAACTGTGGGACCTTATATAGACAGGTGTGTGCCTTTCCAAATCATGTCCAATCAATTGAATTTACCACAGGTGGACTCCAATCAAGTTGTAGAAACATCTCATGGATGATCAATGGAAACAGGATGTACCTGAGCGCAATTTTGAGTCTCATAGCAAAGGGTCTGAATACTTATGTAAATAAGGTATTTCAGTGTTTTATTTCTAATAAATTAGCAAACATTTCTAAAAACCTGTTTTCGCTTCGTCATTATGGGATATTGTGTTTAGATTGATGAGGATGTTAATTTTATTTAATCCATTTTAGAATAAGGCTTTAACGTAACAAAATTTGGAAAAAGTCAAGGTGTCTGAATACTTTCCGAATGCACTCTACGTGTTCCTGAGAGTCTTATCTTTCAGTGATGGGGTCATAATATTTTGCAGCTTAAACCGTTCAAAAGATAGATCCAGATTTGTAGGAAGAAAACAGAAACCACTCTGTTTATTACAACTGCATCTAGCGGCTACTGGAACCAAGCGCGATTTTATGAACCAAGCGCGATTTTAAATTAAAAAAATGTCAGAGTTTCTCTCACAACCCCATTTTCAGCTTCTCTCATGACCCCTAGTTTGGAAAACGCTGCTCTATACAGTCCTAATTGACAGTCACACCATTACATCACAGAGTCAAGGAACTCTATTTTCTATTAGAGGTTTAGACATACAGATGTAGGATCTAATTTGAGTCAGTTTGCTAAAGCAGGAAAATAATCCTGCAGCAACAGGAAATGTGAATTATTATGTGGATTGGTGCCAGTTTTGTAGGGACATTTTTGTAGGGGTTGTTAAATGTTTTGTTTGGTGCAAATCAAGTCTGAAATTAATTATATAAGCCTTTTTAAATACACTACAAGTTTGTTTGTAATTCCTGCTCAGCAACAAAAGAGTGATCAAATTAAGATCCTACATCCGTAATAATGTTACAGTAAGGTTATCAACATACCAAGACACAGTGGGACTGGGTAGTTCCATCTCCGGACTGGTCCTGGCATACAGGTTATATGGGCGTTCCCCTGGTGAAGAAAATACATGTAAGAGATATTCAACAGGGGCTATGCGTTCTCTGGAAAATAATGAATGAAGTGGAAGGTGTGTTCCACAACTCGCTACCGGAGTGGAACTAACCTTCCATGGAGACTGCATAGAGCCCCGAGTTGATTATCCCTTTTATACCATGGCTATAATTTAACACAATTCCACTACAAATGTATTCATTTGCAGGTAGAAATGTGTTCAACATCTCATGAAGTAGCTAGCTAGTTTACTAGATAGCAACAGTAGTTGCCTTGGTAAACAAACCAACAGACTTGCTAGTTTAGCTAACCAAACCATCAGTCCTAGCTTGCTATTATGAAAATCTAATTATGCCAATTCCAATAATGTTTTCAATTCGACTTTTGCTTTCAAAAGCAGCTCAAACATAGAACATGTAAGAACTATAGCAATTGAATTCTACCGTACAAATATACTGTGCGTTACAGGGAAATAATGCATGCTCTAGAATGCCCTTCAGGCCAACATACAGTATTATGTTATAATGTTACATATGCCTTATTCATAGATGCTTTAGAACAGTAGAACACTGAGAAAAACGTTAAAAATAGCTACTAAGATGAACAGACAGAGAGAATAGATGAAATCGATCCAGATAGATGGAGAAAAAGATAGAGATGGAAATAATTCCCTCTTACCTGCAGAGAGTAGCCTTGTTCACACTGAAACAGCACCACGTCTCCAACCATGTAGCGGTCTCCAACCTTGATGCCATAGTTGGGGGTCTGTGGCTCTGCACAGGACTCCAGACCTATGGCTGAGGAGAGAGGGAAAGAGAAAATGTGAGTTGTTGTCACAGTTTTGCACACACACACACACAAGCACGTTTGTTCTCTGAGTTGGTCCATACAGATACACACACACACCATACAGCCATCTACTGATAGACATACCTGTGTACTCCAGGTGGAAGCCTGCAGCAGACACACTAATGTCTGAACTGAAACTCAGGTACAGGTTGTTGGACGTGCTGTTGAGCAACTGGGGGATGGTGGTGCCTTGGAAGCGAGAGAGAACGAGAGTGAGACAAGATGTTATAAAATAAGCTCTTTAATGGTTCACTTCACCCTTACTGCTTGTTGTCCTTCCATAAATACAATCAATTAATGATTAAAGGGCTTATGTAAAACAGGAACATAGTAACAACAGGTAGTTGGTTTGTGAATCAACCTTTTGCTTGTGTTTCATACCATTCAGATGATACCCTTTCAGCTACTGGTAATGTCCTATTTAGCGACACTAACAAGTGGTTAATAACAGCCTTAAATAACAGCGAACAGCTATGAAGAGAACAAACAGTCTTCTCTTCAGGTAGCTACAGCACTTGGACAGCTGTAAACATGACACATATTGTGTCCATCTCCCTACTCCATTCTCCTAAGTGTCCTCCTCATATTGATCTCGTTCCCTCTCTAACACCCTATTGTTCCAACCTCCAGCAGCTTCCTATAGATTGTATACGTGATGAGGCAGGTCAGTATCTATCTGTATCTGTATGGACCAGCTCAGAGCTCCACAGTGTGATGTGGCCCTGTCCTTCAGGCCTCAGCAAGGGACTCATATACCCAGTGGAACTTCCACATTACTGTCCACCCCCACATCCCCTTCCCCCTCTCAGCCCCCATGGAGCCGGCATTGACCCGTTGGGCCTCGATGACAGACAGGCCAACAAGGCCGGAGCGTGGCTGATGCTGGGTCCATATGGATGTGCTCATCAGCCAGGGTATTATTCTCAAAGCGGCTACAGAAATCAGTGGGAGGGAGCTCCCTTGACAGGCCTGGCAGGAATTGATCTGTAGTACACAGTCAGGGAGGGACACATTGAACCACATGTATTCCGACTGGTATAATTACATGATCATGGTCGTGGACGCAGGAAGGTGTTTGTCTTGAGGGAAAACAACTTATTTTTTACAGTAAATTATTATAATGATCTCGGAAAGGGATTTTCGTGTTATGAGATACATTTTGCGTTATGAGATCGTGGTCATGGACGCAGGAAGGTGTTTGTCTTGAGGGAAAACAACTTATTTTTCACAGTAAATTATTATAATGATCTCAGAAAGGGACTTTCAATTTATAGAATATAGCTAGCTGAAACTTGTTTCCATGAAACCTAATTTATGGCCAAATCAGGATGACATTAACAGATATCACAACACATTTGTGATGCAACATAAATTAAGGCACCACAAGTGGTTGTTTTTTAAAATACAGGATCTGAAGATTACCTGAGTAGCTGCCCAGTCTAGGAGCGTGGTTGTCACCTCCGTCATAGAAGTCCAGAGAGTCCCAGTTGTGCTCGGAAGCAAAGCTCAACACCTGGATCTGAGGCAAGGTGTTCGGAGTCAGACCCTTTTCACACTACCTCACCAACCTGACCTGAACTGAGCTCACTAATGCATGATTCATACTATAACCCAAACAGTACTGTTCCAGCAATTATGGCAGATGCGTAAGCAGGCCATCTCAGTACAGCTTCGGTTCGATTCAATGGAAAGAGATAGGGGCGAGACTTGAGGTTCAAAACACAGAGCACTCTTACGAAAAGCTATTAAGCATTCCCTTTATTAAAAGTTGTAACTTCTCGTACTGCATGGCGATATTGTTAAATGTCAAACATCTATATTGGTCCATGGGACTTCAAACAGAACAGAAGAGGCCCTCTTACTTGGATTCCGGCGCCCTCGGGCACCGAAACCTTCCAGACGCAGTTCTGATTGTTGTCATAGGGCTCGGGGTAACCCGGAGACAGGATGGTCCCCCTGCGCGCCGTCAGGGTCCCTCCACACGGCACTGAGGGGACAAAGTCAAACACAGAGGGATGTACGTTAGCACGGGCACATGTATGTCCTAATATGTACACCATACAAGTGCCTGTGCTAACGTACAGTACATTAGCACAGGCACATCAGACATCCAAGGAAAACGACATACTACATCAGACATCAAAATACATATTAGCTAGCATGTATGTCCTAATATGTTCACCATCCACGTGGGTCTGTGCTTTGATGGATGCACCAAGGGCTTTTAAATAGACATCACACTGAGATACAGATATCATTATGTAGCTAGTACAACCAGGTGGCTATGCTGTGCCCAATGGAGCTAGGCATGTCTTCTCCTAGACTGTGTTAAATACATCAAACTGAAGGACAGCAGTGTTAGGTTGCGTCTCAAATGACACCCTATCCCCTACACAATGCACTACTTTTGACCAGGGCCCATAGAGAATATGGTGCCATTTGTGACACAACCACAGTAAACTGAAGGACAGCTGTGCTAGATACAGTAAACTGAAGGACAGCTGGGCAAGATACAGTAAACCGAAGGACAGGTGTTACAGTCACACTGAAGTTTTTGGTCGTAGTATGACGATAAGAATATGGCCGCCTCCTGACTTATAGTGAAGCTTAAGTGACGCCTCACCCAATCAAAGATCATTTGACTAACACAGAGTGAACGCATGTTGGACAAGGGACGGTTAATCAAATCTTCGATAAAGACATTATTTGCAGTGACAGATAGTGATTGTAGACAGAGTAAAGAGAGCTAAAATAATGTAATACCTCACGTTAAGCAATCGGCACAGTTCAAGTTTCGACGCCTATTGTCATAGAGGCATACCTATTCATTCTTATCAGCCTCATATCTATACACACATCCCATCCCACCATGTGTCTGTGATTCAATAAAACTTTATTTAAAAAGGGACAATGAAGCGTATAAACGTCTGCCTCAGTGGTGAAAGGCATGACATTCTATCCGTTTTCCTCTGAGAGAGAGAGGCCAGGTTAAGCAATTTCCCCCTGTTTGTTGAAGGGCTGCCAAGTATTGTCTTCAAAACCGCGTAAGGAGGGAGAGAGGTGGGAGAGCAGAGAGCTGTCAATAGCACAAGCTGGTATCTATGCTGCCAGAACAGTGGTTTTTTCTTCCCTGCTCAGATGCTCAGATACGATGGTGATGCTATCTGTGAAGGATAACAGTATATACTAGAGGTCAACGCCAATCACTTTGTTTAAACAACTAAGAGCAGGTAGGGACACACTAATGGCTGTCTAATATGGCAGCAGAAATGTCTGATGGATCCGAGAGACAGCGAGAGAGGGAGAGAAAGAGTGAGAAGGTAGGGAGAGATGGAGAAAGAGAAAGAGACATAGAGAGAGATAGAGAGAGATAGAGAGAGAGAGAGAGAGAGAGAGAGAGAGAGAGAGAGAGAGAGAGAGAGAGAGAGAGAGAGAGAGAGAGAGAGAGAGAGAGAGAGAGAGAGAGAAAGGGGGCAAAAGAGGGCAACGAGCGAGAGAGAGAGAGAGAGAGAGAGAGAGAGAGAGAGAGCAAAGTCTAATATATCTGTGTCAGGCGCATAAATTATTCAACAAATTCACTTCAGAGCAATTTCAACTCATCCATATTTTACAGATGATATATAAAATGCAGCCATAGTGCTCAGGTAATCACGGAGAAAATCCTATGGACCGTATCCTTCCCACTGGAAAACACGAGCGAAAAACTGAAAAACCAAAAACCCGAAAAGACTAGTTCTACAGCAGGCCAAAAAGGCAGCATGGCGAGAGAAATTCCTTTGCAAATAGCCCTGTCAATTTTGCGCTCCCTAATGCATTGATGGAGGCCCTTCACCTCCACATAACTAGATAGAGGCCCTTCACCTCCACATAACTAGATAGAGGCCCTTCACCTCCACATAACTAGATAGAGGTCCTTCACCTCCACATAACTAGACATAGGCCCTTCACCTCCACATAACTAGATAGAGGCCCTTCACCTCCACATAACTAGATAGAGGCCCTTCACCTCCACATAACTAGATAGAGGCCCTTCATTCAAAGACAGCTAGATAGAAGCCCTTTACAGTGCATTCGGAAATTATTCAGACCTCTTGACTTTTTCCACATTTTGTTACGTTAAAGCCTTATTCTAAAATGGATTAAATTGTTATTTTTCCTCTTCAATCTACACACAATGCCCCATAATGACAAAGCAAAAACAGGTTTTTAGGCCAAAGAGTTCAACCTTGGCTTCATCAGACCAGAGAATCTTGTTCTTTTCATGGTCTGAGTGTCCTTTAGGTGCCTTTTGGCAAACTCCAAGTGGGCTGTCATGTGCCTTTTACTTTGGAGTGGCTTCCGGCTGGCCACTCTACCATAAAGGCCTGATTGGTGGAGTGCTGCAGAGATGGTTGTCCTTCTGGAAGGTTCTCCTATCTCCACAGAGGAACTCTGGAGCTCTGTCAGAGTGACCATCTGGCTCTTGGTCCCATCCGTGACATTTACATTTTACATTTTAGTAATTTAGCAGACGCTCTTATCCAGAGCGACTTACAGTTAGTGAGTGCATACATTTTCATACCAAGGCCCTTCTCCCCCTGATTGCTCAGTTTGGCCGGGCGGCCAGCTCTATGAAGAGTCTTGGTGGTTCCAAACTTCTTCCATTTAAGAATGATGGAGTCCACTGTGTTCTTGGGGACCTTCAATGCTGCAGACATTTTTTGGTACCCTTTCTCAGATCTGTGCCTCGACACAATCCTGTCTCAGAGCACTACGGACAATTCCTTTGACCTCATAGCTTGGTTTTTTTTCTGACATGCACTGTCAACTGTGGGACCTTATATAGACAGGTGTGTGCCTTCCAAATCATGTCCAATCAACTAAATTTACCACAGGCGGACTCCAATCAAGTTGTAGAAACATGGCAAGGATGATCAATGGAAACAGGATGCACCTGAGCTCAATTTCGAGTGTCATAGCAAGGGGTCTGAATACTTATGTAAATAAGGTAATTCTGTTTTTCATTTTTAATACATTTGCCAAAATTTCTAAAAACCTGTTTTCTCTTCGTCATTCTGGGTTATTGTGTGTAGATTGATGAGGAAAATTGTTTCTTGTATCCATTTTAGAATAAGGCTGTAACTAACAAAACAGGGAGGAACAGGGAGCTAACACAGATCAAAATGTAATCTATTACTCTCCCATCAGACAGGCACGCACTCTGCCTACCCTAACAAGGACACAAGAAAAGCCTCGAAAAAATCCCTGTCTTAAAAGTAGTGTGATATGAATGTCGATCTGGCTCAAAAACAGAACATTGACTATTGGTGTGTGATCTGCGAACAAGAGGATGCAGAAAAAAAGGCAAAGCTTACTTGAAGAGAAAAAAGGGAGTCTTTGAAAGATTATTAAAATGTAATCCAATTGACAATGTCTTGGAAATAAATATGAGCTATTGGAACCAACATTTAAAAATAACTGATATTGGCACAAGATGGAGGGAGTGTTGGAACATAACTAACGAAAATTACAGTTAACAAACATTTACGCTTAATCCAATATAAACTACTGTGTAGAATTTATTATACATGAGACCAAATTCACAAATTCTACAGCACAACGGCAGAGTCATGTCTGAAGTGTAAAACTAACAATGACTCAATAATTCATGCCTTCTGGGAGTGCTATAAAGTCAAAAAGTTATGGGCGGAGATAGAAAGTTGGCTGTCAGAAGTTTTACAATTGAAAATTACTTTTAATCCGTCTGTCTGCATATTTTAAGACATGGCATATGAGGGTGTGGTGAGATACCCAATGGGTTGGACCATACTTATCTTGTCAATAATCTTGAAAAAAACGTTTACTTAAGAACTGTAAATCAAATGATTCTCCATCTTACGAATCAAATGCATTATTATTTAAATATTTAAAAAATGTGGGCTACAGACAGAAATAGAATAGCCCATTACAAGTACTGGAAACGCCCAAGGTATGAAGAACGAGAGGGAATGTTGGAGTGAGACAAACGGAATGGGTATGGATGTGGTAGGAACATATGAGTTTGAGCAGGTGTGATGTCATTGATGTTTGTTGGTATTTGTGTGCGTCTGTCTATTGTATTCTGTCTATGCATGTTTTCTGTTGTAAAAATAAATAAAAATAAAATACTGTTTTTACAATAATAGATTGCAGTTCTACTGACAGACAAAATGTCTAAGAAACTGGCCAGAGCATTCGTCGGGAAAGAGAGTGGGAGTGTCATCTCTCACTTTAACTCTATACTCTCATCAGAGACACTCTCTCTCTCACACACTCTCTCACACTCTTCTCCTCTCGCTCTACCCTCTCTCTCTATCCTCTCTCCTCTCCCCACCACGCTCTTTAGACCTGGCTGAATGCACAGCCAAGAGGAAACATTCTGTTCAGAGTGGGAAGGAAGGCCTTCTGAGGGACCCTCACAGCCAAAACCACAGTCTGCTTTCGTGTGCACACTCACGCTCCCACGTTAATGACTTTGCCTCACTTAAGAGGCGGCCCATGGCGACTGGCATGTTGACAAAGCTTGGGAGAGCGGTAGAACAATCAGGGGTGTTTCTGACACAAGGTAACCAATCACTGTAGCTGGGAATTGGCTCGGGAGCCAGTCATACTGACCAACACAAGTGGGCAGGGAGTCGTTCCATTGGGCTAGGGTGTCAGGGACGGTCTCACAGCGGATGGTGGTGGAACCGTGCAGGACGTATCCAGGGTTACACTCGAACAGGACAGAGGCACCCATGGCGAAGTCGTTCCCGATCCGTTTGCCGAAGCGAGGCTCAGGGACTGAACTGCACTGGGTGGCACTGGTCCTTGGGACAGCTGTGGATAGGATAGGAGGTGTCAGTAAAGCAATGGAAGAAGAAGAAGCAGCAGGGGGAGAAAAATTAGACATACCCAATCTCTCACGACAGACTTTCAGCTAGCTAGCTAGCTAGCTAACGTGACATTTGATAATGGATTCTGAAATAAGATATAACCTCAATGCAAAACCACGTCTGAGACAGACCAGCACAATGGTGTTCTTAGGCTCTGTAAGAGAGGAGGAGAGCGTGTGTCTGTTACCTTCAACAACCGCCCCTGAGCACTCAGAAAAACTATTACACACTTGAATACTGAAGGCAGGGTTATCACATAAACAATAACTTCTGGTGGTGTTCTATTTAAACAGAAAATTGACAAGAGCAATAACTGAGTTATTGAGTGGGATTTAAGTTAGCAGGCCTAGATCTTCCTTGCAAGAACAAATTAATGAGTCCAAAAATGAGGGAGGAAGGAAAGAAGGAAGGAAGGAAGGAAGGAAGGAAGGAATGAAGGAAGGAAGGACGGAAGGAAGGCAGGAAGGGAGGGAGGGAGGGAGGGAGGGAGGGAGGGAGGGAGGGAGGGAGGGAGGCAGGGAGGGAGGCAGCTCCTAAAGTGTGTTGTTGGAATCCATCCAGGAATTATGCTAAGCATGTGTCAGGGGGGAATGAGACTTCTACACTGGAGGATGCTGCTGCTGGATGTTAAACTGTGTCCCAAATGGGACCCTATTCCCTATATAGTGCACTACTTTTGACCAAGGCCCATAGCGCTTTGGTCAAAAGTAGTGCACTATGTAGGGAATAGGGTGCCATTTGGCATGCAGCATTACTCTGAGGAGATTTCAAAGGAGGGGAAATGTGGAATGTGTACAATTTGCGAAAGGTATAAGAAACTTGATCATTCTAAGCTTTTTGGGGGATATGTGAAGCATCTTGATGAGCAGGACATCTCTGTGCCTGTGATAGTGCTGAATAGACAGGTTTTGGGGCCAGGCAACGTCATCAACAGATAGCTAGCTGACAGAAACATTTAAATGTACCCCTCTGGCTTCGGCAAACTACTGATGACTGTATGTACTGTGTGTGATGTTCTAAATTCCCTATATAAAAATATGTTTAATTTACAGACACGCATTACTCTTGAGGGCACTCTGTAAAACAATATCAATAAAGCTCAATTTAATTCACTCCCTGTCAGTCACACATTTCAATATTTTATTACAAGTGGAGGTACTGTATTCAAAGGATCCTAATGTTTATACAGTCATTTCGAACACATAGTGACAGTGGAGTGTAGGCAATCCTTACATGCACAGCTAAACTCAATCCATGCCTCTGGCTTGACTGGGGTTGGAGGTACTGTATTCAAAGGATAAGTACTCCTGAGTGGCGCAGTGGTCTAAGGCACTGCATCGCAGTGCTAACTGTGCCACTAGAGATCCTGGTTCGAATCCAGGCTCTGTCGCAGCCGGCCGCGACCGGGAGACTCATGGGCGGCGCACAATTCGTCCAGGGTAGGGGAGGGAATGGCCGGCAGGGATGTAGCTCTGTTGATAGAGCATGGCGTTTGCAACGCCAGGGTTGTGGGTTTGATTCCCACGGGGGGCCAGTATAAAAAAATATATATGTATTCACTAACTGTAAGTCGCTCTGGATAAGAGCGTCTGCTAAATGACTAAAATGTAAATGGATGAAAGTGACTTGCTGCTTCATTTGAATAATGTCATGACAGAGCTAAAATAACCAATATTGGTAGACAGAAAGGGCTTACATTTGTATGTACGGTGCCAAAATTAGTACAGCCTTAGAGTCATAAGGATGTCCTAATATGGATACTGTACTTATGAATAATTAAGTATAATCTATGAAATATCTATGGAAGACCAACCTTGGTAGACAAAGTGAAAGCCCTTTGCCGTCTCCGGGCCGACCGTGGTGAACTTTATGGTTATCTGGTTGCCCGTGCTCAAGGGTAGAGACTCTCCTGAAGAAAGAAAAACAAACGACGGATTTCAATGATCAATCAAACACAACTTATATTCCACCGCACAAAAACATTTCACAGGATAAAATGAAGGTTATTCTTCTGATTGATGTGTAGGTTGGCTGTCCAACAACTGATGATCTGGCCCAGTTAAAGATCAATGTATCAGAGTCCATTGGATTAATCAATCGTTTTGATCTCTGATCTGGCTTTGTTTAACTCTGATGCCTGTCGTGCTGAACTAATCAGCTGTTAGTTCAATGTTATATTTGAACAGGACATTAGGAGGCAACAAGGGCTTCATGCTTTGATAGAAGGCCTTATTGATTGCCAACGGACCCCTTTCATTCCAGCTCTTCTTCTTCCTCTTCTTCTTCTTCACACTCTCCCTGGCACTTTGGTGGTCTTGTCCTCGATAGCCACGGGGGAAATGTACAGCCTTGTATCAGCACTTACCTCTTTATCAAGAGCATCTCATAAAGTGTTGCTGATTAAATGGTACAGACCGGGACCATTTCATTTTCCCTCCGTCATATACACACATGCGCACACACACACAAGCAAGCACGCACACACATGCACACACCAATGTACACACGCACACACGCACCACTCAATAGCTCAGCGTGACTGAGAACAGATGCTTTGCTGATAAATACTTTGTTGAGGGAAAATGTACATAATACAATTGTGATGTGTTGTTGTCTCACCTAGCTATTTTAAGATTAATGCACTAATTGTAAGTCATTCTGGATAAAAGTGTCTGCTAAATGACTAACACGTAAAATGTAATGTGGAACATGAATATGGTATACTGGGATTTTGATACAGAGTGGTGCTGGAGACTAAAGTGATACTGAATAAACGGGTTAAATATGTGACTAATGCATGGCACTTCGGATGTGGCTATTGTAACGTCGGGAAGCAAGTACAGGGAGTGAATTTAATAATAAATGAAAGATGGAACAAAACAAGAAACACGAGTAGCGTACAGACATGAAACACAGAAACAGAATCAATAATGCCTAAGGAAGGAACCAAAGGGAGTGACATATATAGGAGGTAATAAGTGAGATAATGGAGTCCAGGTGTGCCTCATGATGACGTGCAGGTGTGCATTATGATGGCGCGGGGTAGGTGTAACGAACAGTCAACTGGCAACCTCGAGCGCAGGAGAGGGGGAGTGGGTGTAGACGTGACAGTACTCCCTCCCTGACGCGCGGCTCAAGCCGCAGGCCGACGCCGACCAGAGGGACGGTTCCGAGGACTGGTTGCTTATGCTGAGGCGCGGGAACCTGTCGAGCCCGCCGAGGCGCGGGAACTTGTTGAGCCAGCCGAGGCGTAGGAACCTGTCGAGCCAGCCGAGGCACGGAAGCCTGTTGAGCCAGCCGAGGCACGGAAGCCTGTTGAGCCAGCCGAGGCACTGGAGCCTGTCGAGCCAGCTGAGGCACGGGAGCCTGACGAGCCAGCTGAGGAGCCGCAGGACGACGCCAACCAGAGGGACGGTCCCGAGGACTGGTTACTTATGCTGAGGCGCGGGAACCTGTCGAGCCCGCCGAGGCGTGGGAACTTGTTGAGCCAGCCGAGGCGTAGGAACCTGTCGAGCCAGCAGAGGCACGGAAGCCTGTTGAGCCAGCCGAGGCACGGAAGCCTGTTGAGCCAGCCGAGGCACTGGAGCCTGTCGAGCCAGCTGAGGCACGGGAGCCTGACGAGCCAGCTGAGGAGCCGCAGGACGACGCCAACCAGAGGGACGGTCCCGAGGACCAGGGGCGGAACAGTCGCTTCTCCTGAGACCCGGGGGGCCGGTCGCCTCTGCTGAGGTGCGGGAACCTGTAGAGCCAGCTGAGGCATGGGAGGTTGCTTCGGCTGTGGATTTCGGACCCGACGTCACCAACAAAAAAACTAAACTCCCTGATGCTTCCCTTTGGTGAGGCGTTGTTCTGTAACATGTACGCTGGGAGTCGGGAAGCAAGTACAGGGAGTGAATTTAATAATAACATGAAACATGGAACAAAACAAGAAACACGAGTAGCATACAGACATGAAACACAGGAACATAATCAATAACCCCTAGGGAAGGAACCAAAGTGAGTGACATATATGGGAGGTAATAAGTGAGGTAATGGAGTCCAGGTGTGCCTCATGATGACGTGCTGGTGCGCGTAATGATGGATGCCAGGTGTGCGTAATGAACAGTCAACTGGCGACCTCGAGCGTCGGAGAGGGGGAGTGGGTGTAGACGTGACAGCTATAAACCCTTTTTTCCTAAGTGCTTTTACAATAACCCAGCCTAGACCCCCAAACAGCAAGCAGCGGCACAGTGACAAAAGGAAAATCTCCAGAACAAAGTTCAGTGCCGCTGTTGCTGACGTGTCTGTCGTTGTGTTGTGTTGCTTGCTCTTTGTATTACCTGAGTGGGAGCCAGAGAGAGAAGACAGGAGTGGAGACTGCTGCGTAGGCCCATCATAAATGTCCACAACGTCATTGAGTGATGTCTGGAACAAGACAAACTGCCCGAACAGCACTAAGAGAGAGAGAGAGAAAAGAGAAAGAGAAAGAGGGAGAGAAGTCTTTAACTAATTAAAATACTAACAAAAAAGCTAACACCATTGTGTTAACACAATTCATAATTTCACACCAAGCTATCAAAATAGAAACGAGACCGTTACTAGAAAATGCATGAGAGCTAAATTGTGGCATCTATTTTTCGGCCTCCCGAAGCCAGTAAGCCTAGTCTCAGCGGATGGTGGGTACTAAAGCACAGCAAAATAGATCACAACGTGTTGTCAACTGCTCCTCCTCTCTTTGGTGAAAGCATATTGAGATGCTTTTTTTTATTTTTTACATTGTGCTAATAACATCACAAAAGTACATCATTATTCTTCATTACAACAGCAGAGAGCGTAAAACTGTGGCAGGGACTCCCCAAGGTAACAGCACAGTATGTTTATTTAAATATTTTAATTGGAAACCTCTCAGAGAGTCTCTTAGTGTTCTGAGCGAAGCCACAATACACTGGTGCACACCGAGGGCTTCCTCTCTACCATACACAGTAACACAGAAATATCCTTATTTACCCTCCCTAACCGCTTTGATGGTGTCATTGTGAAGGCAGAAAAACTCATTACCCAGCCAAGTCATTAGCATTACAAAACTCTACTGTACTTGCCCTAAACTGATACGAAATTTGCAATTTGCTGCTGAGACTACTTATTTTCAGGAGAAACAGTATGTTGTAAGTCACTTAGTTGCTGATTTCTCTAACATTACATTCCCCCTGACCCAAATTCTCTATGGTTTCCAAGAAGGAAGGGCCATTGATGGATGCCCAGTTAGGGTTGGAAATGTCCAGTAACTTTCACCAAATTCCCAGGTTTTCTAGAAATCCAGGTTGGAGGATTACCGCTGTCCTGCTAGTTCCCTTTTGAATATATATATATATTTTTTCATCTTTGAAATGCAAGAGAAAGGCCACAATATAATATTGCAGTTTAGGCGTAATTTAGAATCTGGCCACTAGATGGCAGCAGTGTGTGTGCAAAGTTTCAGATTGATCCGGTGAAGCATTGCAATACTGGACTATTTTGTAGCAAGTCTGCCCAAATGTGCCGAATTGGTCAATTGATACATAAGTACATAACTATAGAGAACATACAAAAATGATATGGTAATACAAAATGTAAGTTTACACACTCCCAGTAATGTCATACATGATGGCTCATTAGCTTATACACTAACTTCCACACATCTAGATGGCCGGGCGGGGTGGGTGTGGAGCCAGAGACATCAGGGGTTCAAACTGTAGAACCCATTTCCTACATTTGAATATAAAAATGGATTTTATTAAACAAAACTATGCTACATTTTATCTCTGGGACCCTTAGGATGACAAATCAGAGCAAGAATACTGAATGTAAGTAAAATATTTACCTTCAGAGGTGAATGTATCAAACCAGTTGCCGTGATACGTTTTTTGTTGTTGTGCACTCTCCTCAAACAATAGCAAGGTATTTTTCCACTGTAATAGCTACTGTAAATTGAACAGTGCAGTTAGGTTAACAAGAATGTAAGCTTTCTGCCCATATAAGACATGTCTATGTCCTGGAAAGTTTGCTGTTACTTACAACAGTCATGCTAATCACATTAGCGCACGTTAGCTCAACCGTCCCGTATATGAGACACCGATCCTGTAGAGGTTAATGATTTTACTGCAGTGGGCTAAATCAGTGTCACAAAGAGGGTTTCTTGGTAGACTTAAATTAATCTACTTTCAAACAAAGTATACACCTCACACACATGGTTATGGTCTTTAAAAAATAAGACACCTGTACCATGTCAGATATAGAGGTGAAATTTATTCCATTTTGGGTTTGCATCCCAATATTACACTTTACAGTGAGGGGAAAAAGTATTTGATCCCCTGCTGATTTTGTACGTTTGCCCACTGACAAAGAAAATATCAGTCTATAATTCTAATGGTAGGTTTATTTGAACAGTGAGAGACAGAATAACAACAAAAAAATCCAGAAAAACGCATGTCAAAAATGTAATAAATTGATTTGCATTTTAATGAGGGAAATAAGTATTTGACCCCCTCTCAATCAGAAAGATTTCTGACTCCCAGGTGTCTTTTATACAGGTAACGAGCTGAGATTAGGAGCACACTCTTAAAGGGAGTGCTCCTAATCTCTGTTTGTTACCTGTATAAAAAACACCTGTCCATAAAAGCAATCAATCAATCAGATTCCAAACTCTCCACCATGGCCAAAACTAAAGAGCTCTCCAAGGATGTCAGGGACAAGATTGTAGACCTACACAAGGCTGGAATGGGCTACAAGACCATCGCCAAGCAGCTTGGTGAGAAGGTGACAACAGTTGGTGCGATTATTCGCAAATGGAAGAAACACAAAATAACAGTCAATCTCCCTCGGCCTGGGGCTCCATGCAAGATCTCACCTCGTGGAGTTGCAATGATCATGAGAACGGTGAGGAATCAGCCCAGAACTACACGGGAGGATCTTGTCAATGATCTCAAGGCAGCTGGGACCATAGTGACCAAGAAAACAATTGGTAACACACTACGCCGTGAAGGACTGAAATCCTGCAGCGCCCACAAGGTCCCCCTGCTCAAGAAAGCACATATACAGGCCTATCTGAAGTTCGCCAATGAACATCTGAATGATTCAGAGGAGAACTGGGTGAAAGTGTTGTGGTCAGATGAGACCAAAATCGAGCTCTTTGACATCAACTCAACTCGCTGTGTTTGGAGGAGGAGGAATGCTGCCTATGACCCCAATAACACCATCCCCACCGTCAAACATGGAGGTGGAAACATTATGCTTTGTTTTTCTGCTAAGGGCACAGGACAACTTCATCGCATCAAAGGGACGATGGACGGCGCCATGTACCGTCAAATCTTGGGTGAGAACCTCCTTCCCTCAGCCAGGGCATTGAAAATGGGTCGTGGATGGGTATTCCAGCATGACAATGACCCAAAACACACGGCCAAGGCAACAAAGGAGTGGCTCAAGAAGAAGCACATTAAGGTCCTGGAGTGGCCTAGCCAGTCTCCAGACCTTAATCCCATAGAAAATCTGTGGAGGGAGCTGAAGGTTCGAGTTGCCAAACGTCAGCCTTGAAACCTTAATGACTTGGAGAAGATCTGCAAAGAGGAGTGGGACAAAATCCCTCCTGAGATGTGTGCAAACCTGGTGGCCAACTACAAGAAACGTCTGACCTCTGTGATTGCCAACAAGGGTTTTGCCACCAAGTACTAAGTCATGTTTTGCAGAGGGGTCAAATACTTATTTCCCTCATTAAAATGCAAATCAATTTATAACATTTTTGACATGCGTTATTCTGTCTCTCACTGTTCAAATAAACCTACCATTAAAATTATAGACTGATCATGTCTTTGTCAGTGGGCAAACGTACAAAATCAGCAGGGGATCAAATACTTTTTTCCCTCACTGTATATCACAGAAGACTGAAATATAACAAAGCTGTTTGACATAGAAACACTGGATTTAGAAATTCTGAAAAATATTAATAACATTCCACCCATGAGGCCACTAGAGGGCGATTTGGTATTTTGACTGCAGGAAAGGTCTACAGATGCTAATGAATCTACAGTATCTCTCCATCTACATAACAGTATGCTTATAGTACTGCTATGTTGTGATTAAGCCCAAAGCTTCTATGGTTAGTGGCGCACATGGGATGGGGTCATTACACCCCATGGCCATCCCAATAGCAAATATACTGTATGGAGGTCATACATTCCCTTTGATTTCTTGCTTTGATTAAGTGGTATCTTTACACTAATAGTCACCATGTGAAACGGATTCGGGGACCATATGTATCATGCGTCTGAAAGTAGGATGGCTGATTAAGGATCAGTTTTGCCTTTTAGATCACAATGAATAACATTGCATGGACAGGGTGGGCCTGATCCTAGATCATCACTCCTACTCCGAGACGCTTGATACATACCCCTGATGTCTAATTCTATATACAGTTGCTTTTGAATTGCAACAATCCATATTTTTACCTGAAAAGTATCACAGATTTGATTCCTTATTTAAACAGAAACGTAGAAATGATGAGATTTGCAGAGATGTTTTACCCAAGTTAAGAGTAGTGTTTACTAAAAATGCCTTTGAGTTGTATGCATAAGTAGACACGATGAATGTGTCCTCGACTCCTCATGCATATATTCAGTATAGGACAGGGAACACACACACACACATTATGGGCATGTACAAACAAGGCCATTATTGATGGGCCTTTATTCATGGTATGCTGAAGAGCCCAACTGCACAGAGGCTACGTCCCAAATGCCACCTTAAATAGCACAAGATGAGAGAAATGCTAACTATCACGGCAACACGTCTGTATCGCCTGAATACATAATAAGAAACATAGGCCAATAGTTTTGGTTAGGGAAGAGCATACAGTATATCATTTTAGCGTAGGCATAATAGCCTACGATCCAGTTTCAATGCCATTGTGTTTGGGGACACTCCAATTTATTATAGTGTGGGGAGAAGTTCAACAGCGTTGCATTAAAATGCCAGTATTTGTAGCAGTCGTGGTATTGTACTACTGTACACACACAGATCTCCCTCCCCAAACTCCATACCACTGGCAACCTCAGCCTCCCCACTCCAATACTGGGCCCAAGTCAGGGGAAAAATTTCAAACCTTCCCCAGGGAATGTGCTTTGTTGAACGGAACAGAGAGAACAGAGAGATCATGAGCCCTGTTTAGTGCGGAATGTTTTTAATGCTTCAACTGTTTCAGGGTTTTTTGGCAGGACACTGCTGCAGTTCGCTGGCAGAGAGACCATGGTCTATTTACAGAGTACTGTATCTGGGAGGGAGGCCGGGAGGCCGGGAGGCTGACTTTATCTTCAGCAGACACGTACTGTAGAGCGGCACAGCTTTATGTGTTGGAACCACGCATGTTTTTTGGGGGTATTGTCCCAGTTGCGAATTCAATAAATACCCAACATTTGACGGAAAATTCCTCTCGTCTTACGACTTTGATATCAAAGCTCACTCGAATGTCTTGCAATGTAAGAAGAAAATTTGCTGCCAATTGCAACCGGGAGGAAAGGACCAAATAGACTAAAACAACTTTATGCCATGGAACCAGAGGAGGCCTGAGTACCAGTCTGGCAACAGCTCCCCCTATGGTTTGTGCCATCCTTCAGATTTCAGACTCATTCCTCATAATAGGAAAAGCAGGCCAACTTTCACATCTGAGTTAGCTCTTGCCAGTATTACTTTGTTTAGTCAAGCTTACGTATCAACATATTGGCCTTCGTCAGAGCTTTTGTGACCCATTCCTCATATGAATAGGTTTCAGTGTGTACTCTAGGTAAGGATACTAGTCTTTCAGGGATATATTTGATGTGCCAATCATCAGTTGAAACAATAAAGCGAACTCCCGGCCACTTTTATTGGTAAACAGCTAAGGGATTGGGCTGGAGGAATGTAACCACTCTCAAATTCATAGACAGGGCTATGGATGAAAAGACTGACCATCCATGACATCACAACCATGTTTTGAGGCTATACAGTGTTTGTTTACATTTACTTTGTTTACAAACATTGGTGTAAAACAAGCTTATATTTTGGGTTCTGAAGGGGTACGAGGCATTCATAAGTTATAGTTTTCAAGAATCAATGGGTACATATCATAAATGTATAAGTCCAAAAATGGATGTAGCAACTGCCTCATAAAAGAGTTGACATGAAGAATCTTACACACAGAATACTCACACACAGAGCTATACCACTCAAAGTCATGTTCATACATAGCCTAGATATTTGGCTACAAAGCCAACTGCCTGACAAGCTCCTCGTTTCACAGGCAGCTAGGGTGAACCCTGTCTTCCAGTCATGTATTGCACTAATTTTGAAGAGGGCCCATAGGGCTAGTAGTAGGAGTAGGGTGTCATTTGGGAAATAGCCCTAAAAACCTAGCTCAGCACTATTTCAGGAAGTAGTTTCGACAAACAGGTCCTTTCCCAAACGCGTCTCTCTCTCTTAACATGTTCTGACAGATGCTTCCGAGGTTATATGGAAATGAAACCGATGATTAATTCAGATTCCCTTTCCTTTTCCCCCTTTTTCTTAGGCGTTAAGATTTCTCTCTAAAATAAAAGACCTTGCAGTTCTCGTCCTTTTTCTGGTTCGTTGTCTCCCCTGATGGTGCCTGTGGTTGGAACAGATTTCCATTTCATCCGTTCTTTAAGGTACAGAGGGAGAGAGGGAAAGAGAAAAAGATAGGACAAGAAAAAGAGAGAGAGGGAGAGAGAGAAAAAGATGGAGACTTTCTTCTGAGATGAATGAGGACCTATAGCTGACGTTATCATGCTCAACAGCAGTGTCTACCACCACCTACGTGTGCGCGCATGCACACACACGCACGCACGCACACACACACACACACACACACAAACACACACACACACACACACACACACACACACACACACACACACACACACACACACACACACACACACACACACACACACACACACACACACACACACACACACACACACACACACACACACACACACACACACACACACACACACACAGCCAAGGTACAGTCATGGAAATACCGAACAGAAGTGTTAAAGACAGGCACAATACCCCATTGTATACAGCATACAATTACCATCTGTAAGATGCAAAGAGTAAACATATGACTCAAGGTCGGACCGAAGCTCGACGTCTTTGGCTGAATTAATTATATTCAAATGCTATAACTTTCCCAGCTTTCCAAGGTACAATGTTGAATATCAAACGTTGACTCTGAAATAATGTGTGCAATAGCCATTGTGGCTTTCATTTGAAACCCTTTCAACCTCTAAAGTGCAAACTAAACGCAATTAAGACATGGTGGGAGACATGAGAAAATGCCCTTTGTGCCAAAAGCTCCCAATCCAAGCATAAAACATGGAATACATACAGTATTACTGCAATATAAATGCCTTGGCTTAATGCGATTCACTCATCAATAACCTTGCAGCAGAAGGGAAGGGATGCTCTCTGAATGTCACACTGGACTAGAATCTCAGTCTGCAGTATTCATGAAATCAGTGGAAAAGGGCCAATAATATTCAGGCGAGGGGCTGGGATCTTGAAAATGTCTAATATTCAAAGGAGTTCATTATCTGGGACCTGCGTCCGTGGGCTGAAGAGCTAGAGGACCGAAGGGTAATCAGCCCAGCGTTGATCCATACTGCCGTTAGGTGGTCTGCTGGTGCTCTGACTATAGAGCTAGACAGAGCTTCTGTACACACACACAGGGCCGTGGTACATCTACCGCCCTCGCCAACCTAGCATAGTCAGGACACACGCACATGCACAGACACACGCACACACACACAAACACACAGACACACAAACACGCACCCACACTAACGGCGCCCCAACTTGGTAGATATACAGTGCATTAGGAAAGTATTCAGACCCCTTGACCTTTTCCACATTTTGTTAGTTACAGCCTTATTCTAAAATAGATTAAATAATTTTTTCCCCTCATCAATCTACACACAATACCCCATAATGACAAAACGAAAACAGGTTTTTAGAAATGTTAAAAAATGTATTAAAAATAAAAAACATAAGTATTCAGACCCTTTGCTATGAGACTCGAAATTGAGCTCAGGTACATCCTGTTTCCATTGATCATCCTTGAGATGCTTCTACAACTTGATTGGAGTCCACCTGTGGTAAATGCAATTGATTGGACATGATTTGGAAAGGCACACACCTGTCTATATAAAGTCCCACAGTTGACAGAGCATGTCAGAGCAAAAACCAAGCCATGAGGTCAAAGGAATTGTCCATAGAACTCTGAGACAGGATTGTGTCAAGGCACAGATCTGGGGAAGGGTACCAAAAAATGCCTGCAGCATTGAAGGTCCCCAAGAGCACAGTGGCCTCCATCATTCTTAAATGGAAGAAGTTTGGAACCACCAAGACTCTTCCTAGAGCTGGCTGCCAGGCAAAACTGAGCAATCGGGGGAGAAGGGCCTTGGTCAGGAAGGTAAACAAGAACCCGATGGTCACTCTGACAGAGCTCCAGAGTTCCTCTGTGGAGATTGGAGAACCTTCCAGAAGGACAACCATCTGTGCAGCACTCCACCAATCAGGCCTTTATGGTAGAGTAGTCAGACGGAAGCGACTCCTCAGTAAAAGGCACGAGAGCCCGCTTGGAGTTTGCCAAAAGGCACCTAAGGACTCGCAGACCATGAGAAACAAGATTATCTGGTCTGATGAAACCAAGATTGAACTTTTTGGCCTGAATGCCAAGCGTCACGTCTGGAGGAAACCTGGCACCATCCCTACGGTGAAGCATGGTGGTGGTAGGATCATGCTGTGGGGATGTTTTTCCTTCCAACAGGAAAATGACCCTAAGCACACAGCCAAGACAACGCAGGAGTGGCTTTGTGACAAGTCTCTGAATGTCCTTGAGTGGCCCAGCCAGAGCCCGGACTTGAACCCGATCGAACATCTCTGGAGAGACCTGAAAATAGCTGTGCAGCGACGCTCCCCATCCAACCTGACAGAGCTTGAGAGGATCTGCATAGAAGAATGGGAGAAACTCCCCAAATACAGTTGTGCCAAGCATGTAGCATCATACCCAAGAAGACTCAAGGCTGTAATCGCTGCCAAAGGTGCTTCAAAAAGTACTGAGTAAAGGGTCTGAATACTTATGTAAATGTACTATTTAATTATTTATCTTTTTATAAATGTGCAGAAATTTCTAAAAACCTGCAGGATGGTAGCTCTCCAGGAACAGGGTTGGGCAGTCCTGCTCTAATCAGATGTCTATGGAGATAACCCCTCAGTCAAGCCACATGGATAAAAGGATGGTGATGGTGAGACAAATAGTACCCTATTCCCTATCTAGTGCACTACTTTTGAGCCCTATGGGCCCTCGACAAAAGTAGTAGGGGGAATAGGGTGCCATTTGGGACGCAACCTAGCTTTTTGCCTCATAGGGTTTCGTTTAGAAGGTGTAGCCCTTTCCTGTAGTCAATGACCAAAAGCGCCCTCTTTGGCCACATGGGTGGAATGTTATAAAAAAGAAGACGAAAATCCTGTGTTTCTATGTCAAACTGTTTTGTTATATTTCAGTCTTCTGTGATGTATATAAAGTGTGATATTGAGAAGCAAACTCAAAATGTAATACATTTGAACTCTATATCTGACATGGTACAGGTGTCTTCTTTTTTAAAAGCCCATAACAATGTGTGTGAGGTGTATACTTTTGTTTCAAAGTAGATTTGTTTAAGGCTACCAATAATCACTCTGCATGACCCTGATTTAGCCCACTGCAGTCTAACCCCTTACCCTAACCCTAATTCTAACCCTAATCCTAATTCTAACCCTAACCCTAAACCTAACCCCTAAACTTAAAATAGCCTTTGTTCTCATGGGGATGTCGGAAATGTCCCCACGAGGGAGCATTTTCCTTGTTTTACTATCCAACACACTCTCACACACACACACACACACTACATGATCTTTCCATTTCATAATCATTCTTACTCTGACACTGCGTTAGGCTATTCATTTCAAACCCACACATGTAGTATACATTAATGTACACACGCACAGGGATGATTGTCACGTTCGTTGAGCACAGGATTGGACCAAGGTGCAGCGTGGTATGCGTACATGTTCGTTTATTGAATAAACACCGAACTAAACAACAAAAGCAACGTAACGTGAAGTTCTAAAGGCTAACATCAAACAAGCCAAACACACAGAAACAAGATCCCACCACATAGGTAGGCAACATGGCTGCCTAAGTATGATCCCCAATCAGAGACAACGATCGACAGCTGCCTCTGATTGGGAACCTCCCTTGGGCTGGAGCAGCCTTATCCTGAAGCCAGCGTCAGGCAAGGCCCAGGTCCCGGCCTACACAGCCCATAAATCCTCATTCCCCTCAGAGCCCTCCATGGCACACAGATAAATCCGTTGCTCTTTGTTGTGAATCAACAGAGGACAGCTCAGGGCTCGATGAATTCACAGGGAGAAAACGTTCTGTCTGTGACACGCGCACATGCACACACATACACACACACACACACAGCACATTGGGTTCACTCAATATTGTCCTGTTCTGTCATCTCTCACCAATCCCAGTGTCACCTTGATCAATCTTCTTTCTATTGTTTTTAACTGGTGAACTTTCTAAGCCACCCTTTTCTCTTTCTGTTCTGTTCGTCGCTATCCCTCCAAAGGGCATAATTCACAACATGAAACATAGAACATGAAGCGCTCTGTGAGTTTACTGACACTGCACCAAATATACGTGTACTCCTAGTTATTCTTACACCTCTGAAGACTCTTCCTTGCCACTCAGAGGATCTAAAGTATTTTATCTGTGATGACTAAAAAGCAGCATTATCTGGTGACTGTTTAATAATGGTAACACAGGGTGTTTACACCACTCAATGGGGAGCATAGATCCAGACCCACTGAGTCCAGGCTGAGACAAAGTGCCACCACTAACAGTTTGTAGATGTTTGGAACACGCACACCTCACCATTGTCACAGCAAATATATTGAGCTGCATGGTGTTTGTGCAGTGTGATCTGATTCAGTGATCCAGACATCATCAATAGACCATGCCCAGGCTCGCTATGTGTTCCATCCTCAATCATTGATCAATCTTCACAAAATTACATTGTGTCCCAATGTGAGAGGCACTATTCCCATTATTCCATCATGCTGTACCATCAGACATGTACTTTAAGTGGTGGTGAGAGAGTTTGTGTGTTTGCCTGAGAGAGAGAGAAAAGAGAAGGAGATCTGGAGGAGGGAGAAACAGAGGGAGAAAGAAGAAGGAGATACGGAGGGAGAGATAGAGAGAGAGTGAGAGAGAGAGAAAGAGAGAGAGTGTGCTACCTATATCCCCCCACTAGAATCCCCATACTTTAACGATGACAGTTTCTCCATCCTAGAGGGGAGATCAACCATTTCAAGGCCCAGGGACATGTACTAGTCTGTGGCGACCTAAACTGGACAAGAACCTGACACTCTTAGCACACGGGGACAAACACCTACCTGGAGGTGACAGCATTCCCTCCCAAATATGCCCACCAAGACACAACTATGACAAAAACAACCAACAAAAACGGGTCACAACTCCTGTAGCTCTGTCACACACTAGGTCTGTACATAGTCAATGGTAGGCTTCGAGGGGACTCTTAC